TTTGATTTCTACATAAAATTTCTGAGAATGAGTGCTTTATTCAAAGCAATTGCCACAACTATTCTGCTCCTACAATAGATACTTTGCTTGACTATAAAAAATTAAAAACCTCAGGATTTATTCTCATGGCTCTAAGTCTAACTTCAAATACAGTTTCTTGGGTTTCAGGGGTTTTTCTCCTTTTCTAGGAAAAAAGGGAAAGCTCTTCTTTACCTCTCAACTTTCTTCTACCCCTCTTCTCCCAGCTGTGTGCAGAATCTGGATGTTTAAGCTAGGTATTTAATAGGAATGTTTGTCTGCACAACTTTAGTAATTAAATCCATGAGCTCTGGCAGTCATATGAACTCAGCGGTTTTTTTAATGAGAAAATTATGTAATCATTTATACTTTGAACTGCATCTGCCATTTAAATCTGTTTGTAGTACTTCTTACCACAAGCACACTCCTCCTGGATATGTTTAAATTGATTCACAGAAAAACTTATCTCATTAAGTAGTTCCCAATATAGGAACAATGGCTCATTCATGACCTCAAAGCAACTCTTAAAAATTGTTTGAAGTCTTAAAGTGAAATGAAACAACTCACAAAGGGAAGACAGTATGTAAGGTACCATTCACAAAGAACATAGTGCAGTGACTTTGGACAGTGATCTCCTATGTTAGTATTCAAGACCATAAACTTAAAAAAAATTTGTTAAACATAAACTTGTTCAGGTACACTAATAACTTTTAAAATTATTATACAATAAAATAACGTTTCAATCAGAAATGTATTTGGCTTAGACTATGGGAAATAGAAAATTCAGATCTAAACTATTTCATAATTTTTTCTGAAGGCTTATGTTAAAATCTATCATCTTCTGAATTGCCCAAGCAAAATGTAAATGTATGGTCTCAAAATACCCTTTTAAACAACTGCTTACAAGAATATAGCAATATTCTAATTTATTTTCCCTTCTCCATCTTCTCTGCACTATCTCATATATAGTAAACAATTTATAATAGACATTTTTTTTCTTTAGTGTTTGAAGTTTGGCGTCAGAAAATAATTTCTAATTAGTGGATGAACTGAAGAACCCCATCTTGCTGAATGAGCCTGTATCCAGCAGCAATTAGCTGGGACATACACAAACAGGAATATCAACTGCTGGTTTTGCCATGTGATCTCTTCCACTGCACATACAAATATAGAACATGACCATAAAAAGTAACAGAACATGCTCTCTGCAAAGTAATTTATTGCAGTTGATGCTAGATTGGTATGCCAGCTGGAATTACCTTCTCGGCTCCTACTATTTTCACATATACAGATAATAAAGGCTGTGTGCTGCAACGGATTCCAAATGAAAAAATATCAACATTATTAACAAGAAGCAAAACTCTACAAAAGCAACTTCAGCAAGCTTAACTTTGGAAAATGTTTGCTGGTGACTCATAGCAGGAGTTAGAGGGCTAAATGCATACTGGGGCTTCAACATTTTCGTACAGGGGAAAAAATACTGCTTTTCGTATGATATACATTTCTCTCTTCACTGAGCACAAAAAAAAATCTAAGGATTATTATACATATAGGAGCTTTCTTTTTGTTTTAATTCCTTATTCATTAGTTTGTAAGCTGCAAGAGCTGAGCTAATTTATTTTTCCAGGGCATTTTCCCCTCCCTCTCTTTTTTTTTTTAAGGGCACCATGTATGGCATCCCAACATGACAGGAACTCAGTAAATCCCCTCAGTCTCCACACCGCTGTCTCTGAATGTCTACAAAGCTACTATGCTATAATCGCAACTCGCTGGCTCATTCACAGCTTTACATTATAAAGCAAACAGTCTAGACAGCTGAATGACAGAATTACCCTCTTTTCTCTTGCATTTATAGATATGCTGTCATCTTCATTTGCTTTTCTCTACTCTGTGCATTCTGATACGCTAATGATTAGCTTTCCTGTTTGGATTCCACACTGACTCCCTGGCTCTAGGCTATAAATACAACCAGAGCCCAGATGACATCACATCGATAAGGTCCTGGGGGGGAGGACCCCTGCTCCTTTCCTATCTCCTGGTGATAACCAGCTTTTTCAAAATGGTTAACCAATGTTGCTTTACAATAGGACTTTTTCCCCCATTGAGATGGAGGTATAAAAAGCCTAGCGCCTGGAACCATCACTCTCTGCAGTGGAAAATATGGTTCGAGTTGCACAGCATAGGCAGCCTTCAATTATTTTCAGGTCTGTCTATCATATAGCTGAATGTATCTGTGCAAAAAATATAAGCAAAAAAAGAGAAAAAGAATGAACAACAACATGTGTTTGGATGCCTGTAAAAAATGTGTACCTAACAGTCTTCATGTTAAAAAAACTTAAGTAACTGGACTGAGTTTGATCTCACTGAGAAAGAAACTTCAGTCTGTTTGGAATGATGTGTACACACATATGATGTGGCATTTCCTCAGTGCTAAAAGATAGTTAAATGATAAAAGTATGCTTGCTTGCCTTCAACAAGTTGCAGAGATCTGTGCAAGCCTGATAATATGCAACTAAGACATATGGATACACATGGCCAGCTCTGGTGATGTTTTATGACAAGGTTTTTACTATTTGTCACTTTTCTTAATGCTTCTGTAACTGTTATTCTGGATTGCCAGGGAATCTCTTTTTACATCTATTCTTTTTTTTTTTTTTTTTGCTTTTTCTGTTGACATTTTTTAAATGAAAGTTTCTAAACTTTACAGTTGAAAAAATCTCCAAGCCTTGACTTGAGGTCAGAAAGTTGTAAGGGTAAAAGCAGGGAGAAGCCATTGCCATTCTCACTTGAAAAGCAGAGAAAATCATACCGACAGCACATCAGCACAGGAGGCCAAAGAGTGAGCCACAGCTTTCACTCGTCCCAGACCTGGGACAATACCCACACTTCAGAACACCGCATTACATTATGGGCCATCAGAAACTGTTCACTGGGGAATATTTTACCTATGAGCATGAAGAGTTTTGTGGGCCACTGGGTGCGATTGTATTCACAGCCAATATAAATGACTGCTTGAGGCCTGTACCAAAGGGAATTTTGCCTGTTCTCTGTGAGTCATGACCCACTTTTACTCTCTGAGATCAGGGACAGCTGGAAAAACAACTGATCCCTTCTTGCTTGGAACTCTATAAATCTAAAGTCTCGCCTGGAATATCTCTGCTTTTTTTTTCCTTGCCATTAAAACATACCGATTAGAGAAACTTGTAATTTGTGTCTCTAAGAACAATAGTGACAGTAAAATTTCAATAATTTATACCAGTTGCAGAGAGTTATTTGAAAATATGGAGTGTAATGAACTATGGAGCGGGGAGCTAGTAGAAAAAGACAGAACTGAAGGCCATGGAGAGATGGCACAAGCGAAGTCTTCATTCTCTGCGCACTCCAAGAAGGAAGGTTCAAGAGTTGTCCCACAGAAGGGCTACATGATTGCTATTCCCAGGAATGATACAATGCTAGTGGCCAAAAACTTGTGCCCTCTAAAAACTACAAATGAGATTTCATAACACCTCCACAGCTTCCCTGAGCTTTCTCGTGAGGGGAGGATTTAAGTAGTTGCCACTAAAATAAGTATATAAATCAACTTGATATAAATTGTTTTTTTCATTTTCTTGGCAACATGCTTTGACTTCCTTCCAGAATTGGCCTAGCCTGGACCTCAGTTTGGACAATACTGAGTCTATGGGCCAGTATTGATTTTTCTCTCACTAGCTCATCCCCTGACTTCCAAGTCTGTCATATAGCATCCCTGGGGGGCTAGCAAAAAGCTGTTCTATTGCATGGCACTTCCAGCTTCCAGAGAAACACTGATCCCACTCACAGCCATTAAGTGGAAATCTCCTTTGGTTACTTCACTGATCTTATATGTATTGGTACAGAAAAAGTTCTTAACTCTGAACCATGACTTTCTGATTATTACAGTGCCATGCTAGTAATACTGAAAGCAAGCCTCTAAGGGCACTGTATAAATAAAGTAATAAACAAAAGCAAATGCGGGGATTGATAGTAAAGATATGGGAACACAGCCTTTTTAATACACTCCTCTTGAAACACTAGGTCACTTTTCTTACCTCTTGAGGCTCTTGACATTGAGATGCTAACACCAGGAAAGATCTCTGCGCTTGGAAAGCAGCACGTACCATCTCTGCCTGTAACAAAAGGAGGAATATAAATTAAACCTTAGCCTGTAACCTCCAATACCTCTTCCTGGCAGCTCAAAGTCAAGTGTGACAGCTCAAATCTTTCTTGCTGCTTCTCATCTAAATCACAGCAATGCTGACTGGAAGAAATGTATTACAGTACTGGCTTAGCTATAAATTTTTTTGAAATCTAAGGTTAAGTTCCCTATCTTCTTCAGATAGGAAATAAAACGAGTTGATATGCAGTCTTTTGGTTATCATTTACAAGATTAGTCACAGGAGGACTTAATTTTAACACTTCAGAGAATGTCTAGGCATTTTAAGGGTGATGTTTATGCTGGAGTGCATGATAACAACTTATTACCGCTGAGAACAGCAACCTGCAAACTTTCTGTTGAACTGTAACTTAGGCTGTAGTGATGTTTAAGAGGAGTTGAGCTTGGCATATTTGCTGAGGGACTATGCTGTAATTCATTCCTTGCCTGTCCTCTGTGAGCAGACCCTAAGATCGATGGGTATAAGAGATGGTGGCTGAAGATTTTTGGGCAATTTTCCCTCACAGAACTCTAGAATTTGTGTTAAAGCTGCACCTGACAGCACATTTACATGCTAACAGTGTGGATGAGAGGTAAATCTCTACACTCTCCAGTGTTCCCTACTGCTCAAATTTCTGGTTTGGGGAGTTTTTTGAACACTACACATTTTCTGTACATTATGAATGATGTACACTGATTAGAATCTAATCACTATTTCAGTATCACCTATACCTCATTCAAGTGGATGTGTAGTGACTAGGAGAAAGTATTATTGTGATAGAAAAGAACTATTCATAACTAGTGTATATTGCTAAATAAAAAACAAACCAAATGCTGTTAAGTTAATCTAACATGAAGAGGTATATTTAGAATCACTTTGTGAAAGGGTGGGGAAGCTCATGCTGTTTTTCCTTGGGGTTTCTTCAATCTAAAAAGAAAACAAGGAAATTTTATACACAGGCCTGTGTGGATGCAACTTAAAATACATAAAAGTCACAAAATTTGAAGTTGTAGTGAAGTAAACCAGCCAAAATGTGTTTATTCATCTTAAAATGTGATGGCATGAATAAAACATAATATGTTAGGATGAAAATCACTGCAAGGAAGATGGTAAAAGAGGCCCAACTTGGACAGTATTGGGGGAGAAGGGGATATTATGGTCTGACAGGCTGAGATTTGGAGAAGGGTAATCATCTCTATAAATAGATAAAGAAATAAATAATAAGGGAAATTGTATGAGCATAGGAGACTTAAATTTTCCAGACATAGATATAAATACCATCAATAATAGCAAGGTTTAGCTATTCTTAGACATTCAGAAGACTGACTTTTTGGTACAGAAATTCATAAAACAACAAAGTGTGTGCTATTTTAAGCTTAAGGGGTTTTGTGAGAGGAGGATCTTGCAGAACAGCTGACCAAACCCTAATGTTTTTGGAGGAAGTCATTATGAATGGATTCGGTTCTTCTTAAATTGGAAGATGGACAAAAATAGACCTATAGCTAAGGCTTGGTATTTTAGAATGGCAAACTTTTAGGAAATAGAAAAATCAGTGAATGAAGATGACCGGCCTGAGGAACTTAATGATTTTAATGCATTAAAGGATGGGTTTACATTAAGAATGTAAATAGTCTGTGCGTGCTGGGCAGGAGGGAGAAATTATAGGAAAGGGCTGAATGAATAAACAACTAAAGCAAGATACTAAGAATAGGTACAAAACCCCAAAGAATGAGAAGAGGCCTTGATTATCAAGGAGAACTTTTTTTCAGGCATTATAAATTATAGAAGCAAAGGAATGATGGATAAAGGCCTTGTTGAACTCTACCTTGCACAGAAAAGTAAAACAAAGCCATGTTTTTTTTTTAGCTACTGAAACAATAAAGAAATAAAGCAATGAAGTGAGACCATGGCAGTGACCTAACCTGAAGGGTAAGTTGGGCATGTCTACATTATTCTTGATGTATAGCTTACCTGTTGTTGAATAAATGCTTTTCCCCAATTTCAAGGAAGTTGATGTACAGGAAGATATTGAAAGGTTAGCTAAGGAGGATGATGATAAATCAATGGGAATTACATCATTTGAAAGGGAAGTCAAATATACATAGCTTGGTCTGACAAAATCATTGGGTCCATGTTATCGTCATTCTAGAGTACTGAAGACACTGGCAGATGGAAACACAAGTAAAAAAGATTTTAAATATATACCATTTGGAGGTAGTACCAGATGACAGAACTATGCAATGATGGATTGGGCAAATATGCCCAAGAAGAGGGGGGGGGAAAGTATGTCAAGTGATTTCATGGCTGTTAGTTTGGCTTCAGCACCGCGCACATTTAGAACAGATTTGAAATGAGTGATTAAAAACACATAAGAAAATTAAAAATGGGAGAAATTATAATGGGATTATCTGTCCTTAAAATCATTACCTTTGGGGCTTGTTTAGAGTTTTCAGTTTCTTAGACAAGGATAATGTGTCAGATCTAGTATATTTAGGTATTATATAAAACACTTATTGTGGGTCCTCATAGGAAACTCATACTTTAAGTGGAAATTATGTAAATTAGTATAAAACATCTTAAGTTGGATAAGAAGCTGGATAAATGGAGAGAACAACAGGATATATTACAGGTGGTGTTATCTGAGAGGAGGAAAGTTGCTGGTTGTGTTTCTCAGGGATTAGTTTTAGGAACCATCAATATGTTTGTTAGTGTCCTAAGAGCAAGAATTAGATGTGCACTCATAAAATTCACGGGCAACACAAGCTTAGGAGGTTTTAATATTGTCAAGAAGGACTCACTCATCACTTGAGAAGAGTAAGACAACTTTGTTGGCACAGGTAGTATGAATAGGATAAAATTTAGCAGTCCTCCCCCCCACCCCTTTAAAACAATGTGTAATTTTGGGTGTAAATATGGAACTGATTGATTAATTGGAAATGCTGAAGGCTGGAAAATGCAAGTATAAAAGCCAGGAAGGTGGCTTTGTGAGAAGAGTTTATGCAGTTCTACAATGGATGTGGCAAAATATTTTTAGTAGAGCTACAGAAGTGTTAATACCACTGGAGAGGACCTCCTCTGGGATTCTGTGTAAAGCACTAGTCATCTGTGTTAAATCAAGATGAGCTTAAATCAGAAATGGTGCAGAGAAAACCTATTTGGATGTTTAGAGCAATGGCTATCTGTCATACAAAGATAAACATTAAGTTTCACTTGTTTTGCTTAGCAACACAGTGGCTGATGAATGTGATGATTCTTTTTCATATGGAATGTAAATAACAAGGAAGAAAATGGTAGTGTCAGCACATAATCACAGGTCTGTAAACAGGATCAGGAGTAATCATAGTCTCAAATTTAAAAGATTTCCAACTATCCAAAAAGTGAAGTTCAGAAGGAATCTTCCAAATTCCTACAAAGAACCAGCATTATTTTAAGATAGAGCTTTACATGCTGATCAAACAGATCATAAAACATGAGCAAAGTGCTCTTAGATCCAGAAAATTAAGAGTTTTTTGTGAGTTCTTGAACATATAATGAGCTGGTAGCATCCATGAGGTTTGAAAAATGTCTGTCTGGCGCTTGTTTACACTGCATTAAAACCACGCTTTTGAGTTCCCGCTGGTCACACATGGAGGCTGAGGAGGGCTTTTTTCTCCACTCAGAGTACAAAGTAACAAATGGTTTCTTGTCTGATTTTTCACCTCTTTCTGCTGAAGCACTGGAATTTGGTCAGAGCTGGGGCAGACTGTTGGATGATGTACACTGATGTTCCTGAAAGACTGACACTCCTTGCGTATGCCTCATACAGGTGTCTTGCTCATCTGACCAATGTTAAAACTATTGTTGGATATGGCATCAGGATGTACTTCTCCTCCAGACGAGTATTACTCTTCTATGTTCATTACTCCTCCTTCTATACTGCAAAGGCCAGGAGAGCCAAGGCCACTTTCTCAAAAAGTCTGGGAGCTGTCTTTAAGAAATCTTCAGCTACTGAGGGCACCCAAGCCATTGGTAACACTCTTTGAGTTACCTCTGGTGCATTAAAAGTGTGGCCTTTTGCATTTTCTTATTATCCTAGATTTATTATAGGATGTTGGAAACATTCAGCGGTGAGTGGACTAGATATTGATTGCAAGGCTTGTGCTGTATGCCCAAAATTTATCCAGCGCCAAAAGCTTTTAGTTGTGTAGGGATCAGAGCACTCACATCTCTCACCTGTGAATTTAAATCTTAATAAAAGGATCATGCTAATACAGGTTTTGTATTTTACAAGCAGAATTTTGTAAGACTTCTGCCACAGTTCCTTCATTCTTTCTCCAACAGCATTAAAAATGTCTTTCTGAGTTTTACTGTTTCCGAGCATGCGGTACTTCTTTCCATGCATCCCATCAAAGTAATAGAAGAGTTTCTTCTCATTAAGAATGCATTAGTTCAGTCTATCACCATTCCAGTTCTTTCTCGCAGTCTTTGAAATGTGACACTTCATCGCTACCTCCTTCTATTTAGCAGGCAGGCTGTGTAACTAAGCTGACAGCACTATTTTTTACAGGGAGATGACTCTTTCATTAGACCCCCCATATCCAGTGAAGACTGAGTGAAAATGGACTGGGGGGGATTTTTCTCAACAACTTGTGCGGCTCAGCCAAAAGATTGCACAGTACAGATCAGCTGAAACCCTTTCAGCTATAATGAATGATAGTAATGAAGCCTGAGTATCAAAAATGCATGGGAATCCTGAGTAAATTTATCAGAGTGGACTAGAAGACAAACTTGCACGCATCTATCTGCAGATAGAAATGGACGTATTTTGCAGCAACAGATAATTGAGATCTAAAAACTTTGGGTAATCCTTTTGGCATTCTTGGGATTATGCATGGAGACAGCAATCATCAGACAGATTCCTCAGCAGAGGTGAATATTTTGAAGGAAGCAAGTTCTTCAAAGCATTTCCCACCTTGCTTTTAGCAGTTTGTTCT